GAAATTATATATTAAATGTTGATATTAATAGTCATTTCAAAGAATAAATAAATGGTATGAAAGAGAGAAAAAGAAACAAAGAATATAATATTGAAAAACTGTAATTGAAGAAAGAAAAAATATGCTATACTCAAAATAGTAAAATAAAAAATATAGTAAAAAGAAGAGAATTTATGAAAAATAAAAAAGAATAGAGAGAAAAAACTAATAATACCATAAAATACAAGAATTTTTAATAAGATTGAATTAATAATATAATATCAATGAAAGAAATGATTAACAAAAAATAAAGGATTGAATTGTTAAATTAGAATAGAGGAAAAATCGATTTTAAATCATTTTTTAATACCTTATGTAAAAGTTATTCATAATGACTTATAACTCTATTATGTGTATACAATGTCTCACTCTAACAGGTTTGAATGAATAACCAAGTTATTTTACTTAAATGTACATATGTTAATAATCAGTTTTATTAGTATAAATTGGTAATGTAATTTTAAAATACTGACAATGACATAACCATATGAACAGTATCATAACAGTTCTAAAATAAAAGTATAATCCAATTATTTTTATAAGTCTTTGACTTAATACTTATATAGAATAATATATTATTTTTTAATATTTCTTCCATTATTTACTTGTTATTTTATAAAAAAATATGAATATTCTACTACTATGAAAATGGAATTTAAAATTAATTCATTCATTAATGAAGATAAGTTTAACATAATCAACGTGTTACATAATAAATTACTCTCATTATAATATAACGATAAATTAAAAAAAGAATATACCATTCAGTTGATAACTCTTTTGTTCAATAACTCTGTCATTATCTTTCATTTTTTAATAATATAACTTTCATTTCATCGTTTGGATTAAAAATAAAAAATGATATTTCTTTGAAAAAGAAAATAAAAAAAAAACAAAAATAATGCATCAAAGAAATTAATTACTCTTGAGGTTCATCTTCTTCATCAAACTTTGGTGCTAAGTAGAATTTTAACACACAGGCTTCTCCTTTAAATTCCATTATAAGTGGTGCTTGTCCACTTAAAGATAATTTAACATTATCAGCCAAAGGGGCAGATTTAGCAAATTCACTAATTTGTTTTAAAGCAAATGAAGCAGTAACATCTTTATTATGTTCTATTTGAAGTCCATTAGAGTCAACATTTTCAAGAGCAGAAAGAGTCATACAAGTTTCACACATAGCACCTTTAGTAGTGAGAGTGACTTCATTTTTAGTACATCCAATAGAAATAGAATCATCTCCAAGAGCACTAAAATCTTTTGTAATTTTGAGGAATTCTGCAGATGAAAGTGTAATAATAGCGTCAGATTGAAGTTCTGGAATTTCAACACTTTCTGCTTCAATATCAACTAAATTTAAACCAAATTTCATTGTTTTATTTGTTCCTTCAGAAGTAATTGATAAAACAGCATCATCTACTTTTTTAACATCTAGAATTAATCCACAATCATTGTCAAGTGCTTTAAGTATTTTAGATAAATGTGTTAAATTAATTCCTAATGTAATTGGTTTTAAACATTGAAATTCATCAAACGCATCAGTTTCTATTAAAAGAGATACTAATGATACATGAGAATTATCCATACATTGAACTGCTATTCCAGCATCACTACAATCGAAATTAGTTTTGTCAATAGTAGATTTAAGTGATTCAACTACTCTTTTAAAAAGAGCTGCTTCTTTAAATTTGGCGTGGAAAGCACACATTTGAACTTGAGATCTGAGATTTTTTAGTTCTTAAAAAAGATAAAATGAAACCCTCGACTGTTCAGTCATTATTTCATTCAATTCTTATTGAAGGAGAAGTAGTTGAATTAGATGAAGAGTGTATTACAGAAATAGAAGGAGATGTCAAAAGTAATTTTACATGGAGTGGAATTGAAGAAATAAAAGAAGAAGAAGAAAAAGAAAAAGTATTTGAAAAAAAAGAAAAAGAAGAAAAACAAAAAAAAGAAAATTGGAAAAGTGAAATTGAATGGTTCAATCAAATAATCGAAAGAAACGTCCAATTATATGGAGGAGTTTTTTTAAAAATTAATGGAAAAGCATTAGTTGATGCAGAGTGGATGAATGGTAGTTTAAAAGTTTGTAATGGAAATGAAGGAATGATGTTATTACAAGGTTCTGAAAGAGCACAAGAATTAATTGAAAAACACAGACAAGAAGGAAAGACTAATGAATTAGAAATTCGAAAATTTGAAGAGATTCGAATTTCTGATGAGTTTAGATGTTTTGTAGTTCATAAAGAACTAATTATTATTTCACAAAGATATAATGATGCGTATGAAGTTAAAATTCAAGAAAGAAAGAAAGAAATTATAAAGAAAGTTAATGAATTATTTGAAATTATTAAAAATCATCATTTTTCTGATAGTTGTTTGTTATATTTAATTAAAATTATTATATTTTAATATGATATACTTAATCTTTAGATACTTTCGATGTTGTTATTAATAACAAAATAAAAGTAATTGGATTTGATGAAATGAATGAACGTAGTTTTGAAGGAATGACTTTTAATAAAGAAGAACTTATGTTAAATGCTAAAGATATTAATGTTGTTAAACCTTTATTAAAATTTGTAGAAGATTCACAACATATCATTCCTACTGTAAAACAATTTTATGGAATACCTGAAGAATTTTATGATGAAAAAGTATTAAATACATTCCTCACAAATCCTTCAAAATTAACTTCTTTTTATTATTTAGGTTTAAACTGCGAATTTTTAAAATTAAACAATTCTAAAATTAACTTTGAGTTTTTAATATTAAATGAACTGATTCATTTTATAACTTTTCAGTTTTAAGACAAAGAATATCAATGAAAAATTTGAAGAAAATTAATAATATGAATAATAATGAAGAGTGAATAAACTTTTGGCTGAAAACTTTATTTAGACTTTTGTTCTCTACACAATTTTGTATTGTTATTTCTATGACAATATAGTAAATAAATACTTTATATTGATTTTTTTATTGGTTAGTTGAAAACAAAATAAAACAATACTTTAATTAGTTGATATTTCTAACAACTATTCAAATAGGATGTACTTTAAGATAACCGTTTATAAAATAAGAATTAGTTTAGGGTTAATCTAAAGAATATACAACTGATAATTTGGTACGAACAATTCTAAATTATTTGTTGTGTTGAAAGTAAATAGCAAAAGTTTAGAATTATAATTTATACTAATAAATCCAAATAACAACATCTAAAATAAGGAAATATAGAAAGACTATTTACTCCTACTCATAGAACAACATTATTTATTTCATTTACATCTTTACTTGAAGCTAAAAAATTATATCTTACAAATTATTATAATAAAAAACAATATTTATTATCACACATAGACATTATCAATATTTTCAATTAAACATCTGTAGATTAAAAGTTACTTTAATTCAACAAAAAGTACTTGAACTTATTTATTATTTCATCATACAAATTGAATCTCATCATCATTTTCAAAGTAAAAAATATTTTACATTTAAATAAACTAAAAGATTCAATTTATGTCATGAAATACATTGATTTATTTTTGGAAGAAGGAAATTTAAATTAATTGGTATTTATACAACAAATTAAATATGATATAAAAATTTCATCTAAAATTCTTCTCTAGTACTTATTCATTAATAACAATATATCACTTAATGTTAATGAAAAATTATATCATTCTTCTTATTATAAAAACACAAAATTATTGTTTCTTTGAGTTGAATTATATTTCTAAATTGTTAAAACGATAAACGTTATATATAACAATCTTTATTAAAAGGAAAGAAGTGTCGAAGATTCTTACAAGATCTAAAAATAAATATTGAAAAAGTTTGATTTAAGTTTTTGTCTTACCAAAAAAAAAAGAGGAAAACAAAATAGTATTGTTACTAAAAGAGGATAAAAGAAATATAAAAATCACAAGATATATTAAGAAATTAAAAGAAAATTTTAATATTAAAAAAAAAACAATCAAATTGAAACCCCCCTAAAATAAATTAATCAAACAAAAAATAAATAAAACTCAGTGAAATTGAAATTGGGAAAATTGACTATCAAAATGGTTTTTTGATCAAAAAACCCTTTTGTAAGAACTACACTTTTTTTTTAATAAAAGAAGAGGATGCACTTAATTAGTTATTTTATATATATTCTTTTATTTTCTAAAAGTCAAGGATTTCATTGTAGTCCAGGCTGTACATCTGAGTGTATTGCAGATTATACATGTCTAGATTCATGTTCAAGTGGATATGAAAATGATCATTCATGTGACCATTGTACACCATTTGATTCAACATTAGAAATTTCTGAAACAAATCCATTATTTTATAATTTTGAAGGAATGTGTTCATTAATAAATCCTTCTAAAGTTACAAAGAAAAAAACATTAATACCAGATTCTATTACTGAACTCGAAAATGAAAAAAGCATAACTTTAAATTTTGATAGTACAACTTTTTATGACTCTGGACCTTGTCATTATAAAGACTCTAATAATCAAATGATTTATAGAAGAGGCCATTGGCTCTTTATAGATTTTAATAAAATTAATACAATAACAAAAGTTATTATGTTTAATGTAGCTCATAATAATTTATCAAATAAACAAGACGTTAGAATTGACTCAACTGACTCAAATCAAAATGATAAAACATTTAGATGTTTTGCTATGGATATTTTATCATCTAAAGTTAATTCAACATCATTTCCTATACCGATTCCACATTTTGTTACATCTAATCGTGAACATCGTTTATACTTTTTTGTTTATGTAACAGGTGACCAAAATACTTCAGTTACAATATCTATAAAAGCAATGAACAATTATAGTCCAAGAAATGATTTAGTAATAACCCAAGACATATTCAATGCATTAATGGCAAATGGAGGATCAACAGAAGTAATACTTGATAATACTCAACAAGGTCAAAACTTTTATCCTGCATGTATTCCTGATAAATTAATGAAAGGCCATTTCTTTGAACAAAATGTTGATTCAAGATATAGAATTGCTGTTGATGTTTCATTTGATAATAGAATAAGATTTATTCAAGAAGTTGATTATAATGATATTGATATATGTAAACATCTTTTTGTTGGACAATTATTTGGTAAATCAAACACTATTAAAGGTTATAAAAATGGACTAGTAATTTCTCTTGATCCAAAAGCTTCAAAAGGAAAAAGATATGCTTTATTCACAAATCAGCAAGACAGTAATTTTTCAATTGTTATTTCTGCTATATGTCCTGATGAATGTAATTCTGATAAAGGGCATGGAACTTGTTCTACTAGAGATAAGAAATGTTTATGTGAAGATGGTTATGGAGGTGAAAGTTGTATATTAAAATGTTGGCATAATAATACATGGCAACCTAAAGGAAATAATGGAAATGGTCAATGTTATTTTGGAGAAAAAGGATGTCGAGATGATTGTACTTGTTCAGAGAATTATGTATTATCTGGACATCATTGTGTATCAGAAAATTGTCTTAACTCTATTCTTTCTGGAGATTTAGAATGTTTTAGAGGAACAGAAGGATGTCTTGAGAATTGTTATTGTAACACAAATGATTATATACCATATTTTGGAAGTTGTAAGAAAAAGACATGTGGAAATGGTCAAAGAGATAGTATTCTGGATAGTAAGGGACATGAAATTGGAGAAGAATGTGATGGAGGAAAGAATTGTAATTCTTTTTGTTATTGTATAGAAGGGTATGTTCCAAATATTGATGATCCATTATCTTGTAAAGAAAAGTCATCAACGCCAACATTTTTACATGTTGGTATTGGGTTATTATGTGGATTTATTGTTATTATAGTAATTGTTATTATTATTGGAATTATATTATATAGAAAGATTAAACGAATAGATATAAGAATATTTAAATTACAACAACCAGGGTATTATTATTATATTTCAGGAAGTAAAAAAGTAGATCCTGAAGTAGATACAAAATTTAAAATTAATCCAGTTTCATTAGATTTTGGAAATAAAGATGTTCCAACAGAAGTATTTGATACGCGATTTGAACGAATGGAAATTAAAAATAAAAGTGGAAATAAATATATGTTAATAATCTTTCATACTCCAAATAATCCTAAATTTGTATTTAATTTTGAAAAGCAAGTTACTATAATAAGACCAAGAATAACTAAAGAAGTTACTTGTTATATGACTCTTCATTGTACTACAAAAATTAATGATATAAAAATTCCTTATTCGGTTTGGTTTAGTAAATCAAAACATACACTAAGAGAAATAATTGTTTTATTAAAAGAAAAAACATTTGAAGAATGGACTTCCACAGACCAAGAAACAATGAATATGTTATTAAAAAAAGTTACTTCAAGATTTCATGGAAGTCTTACAATTGATACTACAGCAGCATCATCTACTCATATTGATTTAGATGAATTAAATTTAATAGAAGAGCCTATTGCAGAAGGGGCAATGGGTAAAGTTTATATAGGTTGTTATAGAAGTATTCCTGTTGCAGTTAAAATGTTTCGTTGGGAAAATTTAACAGAAGAAGAAACATTAAATTTAAAGATGGATGTTATTAATGAATGTTTATTAATGAGTAAATTACGTAATCCGTTTATTGCAAATTATATGGGATCAGTTACGTATTTACCACAAGTATCAATGGTAATGCAATATTTTGTTTTAGGTTCATTAGGTGAATATCTTAGGAAAGATAATGAAAATTTTATTAAATTACCATATAAACTTAAAGTTAAAATGCTTTTTGATACTGCAAGAGGAATGCAATTTTTACATGAAAATAGAATTATGCATTTAGATCTTAAACCTGATAATTTATTAGTTAATTCTTTATGTGCAGAATCTCCTTGTTGTATTAAAATTACTGATTTTGGTACTTCAAGGTTTACTAAAAGTAGTTATAGTAATGAAGACAAAGGACTTGGTACTCCAATTTATGCTGCACCAGAATGTTATAGTGATAGATATTCTTTTGCAAGTGATGTTTATGCATATGGTGTAACAGCGTGGGAAATCTTTTATGAAGATGAACCTTATAAAGAATTTAAGTCTTTATTTGAAATAAAGGATTATGTTCTTCAAGGAAAAAGACTTAAAATTGATGATTTTATGCCTTTAAATTTAAAAGAACTAATTGAAGATTGTTGGAAACAAAAACCAGAAGAACGTCTAGGATTTGAAAGAGTTTGTAATTACCTTGTTCTTATCTCATCCTCACTAGAAGATGCTAGTGCATTAGACGAAGGTGTTGATCTATCTAAAATTGAGTCTTTAATTATTAAAAGAAATGAGCGTTTAAATACACTAATGAATGAATCACAAACAAAATAAACTAATTGATTTTTTTATTTTTAATTACTATTATTAGTATTGTATTTCTTAAAAATTATTTATAAATTAAAATTTAACTTAATTTAATCTTTTATCATTTTAATACATTTCTTGATTTATTCTTTGATTTAGTATTTACCATTTACTACACTGTAGTATTGGTTGAAAATATATATCTCTTCTTCTATTTCATTCTAGACTGATTTGTAGTTAGAATATACAAACAACCAAACTTGCCTTTTTAAAACAAAAATTCTGTTAGAGAGAAAGTTATAGTTCATATAAATATTAGCTTCTTAATTAAATTTTGTATTTCTATCTCTAATAATAAATCTAAATAATAAAATAAATGATATTTATTTGATTATTTATGTTTGTATTCTTTTGAAATTTCAGATTATGAAAAATATTGTTAGAGTAATCATCCAAGATCTTTATTGTTACTCATTTATATTGTTAAGACTTCCATAACTTCTTGTTTTGTTGTTTATTATTAAGTACATTCTGAATAGTTTTCCAATTTTCAAATGTTCTAGACATTAATCATAAACAGAATAATTTCTTTGTGATATAATTTTTTTCTTGTTAGTGATGTAGATTATATTGATTTTGATTGAATTATTTTTATAATTTATTTAAAGATGATTTAATGCCATAACTATCCATTTCAATTTGTGAAACAATTTCTGATTCAATGTAGAATAATAGTTATTAACATTAATGTCATATTAATATAATTATTTTCATTATTATGTTATTTAATTTTTTCTTTAAGCTTTATTTTTATTATGTTACTTATTTCTTCTCTACATTATTCTCGTTTATTTGTGTTTATTTCATATTTCAACATAATTTCATCATTCATCATTTGTTTCTTATTAAATCATTCTAATATTCTTCTTAATATGTTATTTGTATTTCATATCTTCTTTTATTTTAAATTTATTTTCAATTGAATAATACAAATGAAATACTTAATTTTGATTTGCATATTCAATGAAGAAGTATAAACGAATAATCAAGAATATTGAATGAAAAAAAAACAATAGAAAATATGAATAAGAGAAAATACAACCTAATGAAATAATTATATTTAAATATTATTATTGAATAAGATGAATGAAATATAATAATTGTATTTCAATATCATATATATTCATGTTTCAAATGTATCAATATAGTTATTTGAACATTTTATCAATTTATTACAAATGATTTACATTAACATATTCTATCATATTATCATTCTACATTTATCTATTATAATTCATTTCTAATAGTTATATTTACAATAATATCATCAATTAATTACTTAAACTTTAGACTAATATTAGAATCTCTTCCAATAATTCATTTTCTATTAATTTAGTTGATATTCTTTAATACATGATATTCCATAATTTCTAAGAGATTTAATAAAACATAAAAATGCAATAAGTAATATTTTATACTTTTAGGTTTAAAATATTTTATTTTTCATATATTAATATGTTTATTAACTTTCGTATTTCATTTTTATTTAATTTGTGTTTATTCCATTCTTCAAACACTTCTTTTTATCATTCTCTATTGTAATTTATCTAAATCAATGAAATCTAAGTATTTGATTTTCGTTTTATTCATTTGTTTTCACATTCTATCAATTCATCTTAAACCATCATTCTGTTGTTTAATATGTTAATTCTAGCATTAATTGCCGTTTTTATCAAATATTTCTTCATTCATTTATGTTCATTCCATATTGTTAATGTATTTCATTTGTAGACTTTTCTCTTATATTTCATTTCTTGCTTCTTTTTTCCAATATCAACAATAATATTACACAATTGTTTTATCTTCTATTCTTTTGGTTTATCTTCTCACATTTCTACTTTTATTCATTTATCTTCATCTTCTTCTTACTTTTATTTTGTCATTTTATATCTTTCTTTCCCTTCTTTTTTCTATTATTCGATTTTTTCGTTGACTATATTTATTTCATCCTTTTAATTTTATTTCATCTAAACATTTGATGATTATTAAAATAACTTGTAAATATATTATCAACACACTATAAATGAATGAGAAGAATATGATAATCAATATTTATTTTAATTAATTATCAAATAATAGATTTGATATTATTATAACCTTTATCCATTCTCTTTATTCTTTCTTTTTTTCAGTACTGATAATATTATATTATCTTATATTTATTATTTAACTTCATTCATTATCTTTCTGTTATGCTGATTATGTTGATTCAATTATTTAATGATTGATTTACCCATTTCTAAATCCATTTTATAAATATAATTAAATTTAGTTGAAAATGAAATAAAGTCAATATGAATTAAATGTTATTTTTATATTATAACCATATAAATCAAAGTATATACTCAATATAAATAATTATATATTTGACTACTCTTTCTTCAGTTAATTAATAATATTTCAATATGTCTTTCATTAATAAACAATTTCATTTATCAATATTGAACGGTTCGATGATAAAACATTCATCAAGTGATTTTATTCAATTATATTGAAGCATATTCATAAATCCTAATTATCACACAATTTTTTAATATTCTATTTATTATTTAAATATTTATGATATTATTTAATATTAAACTATATGTTTCTTTTATATTTTTTGTTCTTTTATATTTATCTTATTACTTTTTAAAAACCTTCAAAACAGTTTTTTAAGATATAGTATTTTATATGATTGTCAAATTTAAACATTAATTTTGATTAAGATATATTTAACAACTATTTCATTTATTAAAAACAATATCCTTATTCTATTTTAAATATTTTCTATTTGTTAAAAAACATAAAAATTATTCATTAATATACATTTATTCAAAGTCTTTAAATTAATATTTATCAATTATTTGTCTGTTAATTAATCTTATTAGGTATTGATTAAAGTATTACTTTTTTTAAAAAATACTTAATTATTTCAATTATTTATATTTTTAAATAAGTTAATTTTTCTTAACTAATCAGATATATTCATTTATTTATTTTAATTAGCAACATCTTTTAAATTTATAAATTTTAGTCGTTTAATAACAATGCTGTCTTTAGAACATTTATCATTATTCTAAATAATATAGCATATTGTTATAAAAGATATAAACTCTCACTCTTTTCACTCATATTATACTTTCATAAAAAAATTACCAAAAGAATTTAATAATATGAAAACCAATAAATCCAAATATTTTTTATATTTATAAATTAGTTGAACTAATTAAATAATAAAAAACAAATATTTCAATAATTTTACAAATACTTTTAATAAAAAGAGAAATTTATTTAATTGAACTAAAAAATAAAACTTAAAAAGTATGGATTTTATAACAAATATCATTTTAATTGGAGTATTTTTATTTTTATTAAAGATGTATTGTAATGGAAGACAAAACCTTATTGAAAAGGACCTTAAAGGAAAAGTTGTTGTTGTTACAGGAGGCACACATGGAATGGGAATTGCCTTAGTCAGAGAATTATTAAAACATCATGCTACTGTTGTTTCTTTCTCACGGAATGAATCATTAGCACAAAGAATATCAAATGAATTAATTAAAGAATTTCCAAATTCACAATTTGAACATATAACAATGGATTTAGGAGATTTAAAAAGTGTAAAAGAAGCAACAGAAATATGTATTGAAAAATATCCAGAAATTGATTACATTATTGATAATGCAGGAATTCTTATTTCACCCTTTACAAAAACTAAACAAAATTTAGAAGGGGTTATAGGGATTAATTATGTTGGACATTTTTTGTTTAATTTAAAATTATTAAATGCTCTAAAAATAAGACATGGAAGATTTATAATAACTTCATCTATTATGGCACAATTCGCTGATAAACCTATTACTTTGGATTGTAAAAAGAATGAATTTAATTGTTATCAAAGATATTCTCAAAGTAAATTGGCATTAATGATGATGGCAAAAGAATTAAGTCTTCATGGAATAGAAGCAGTTTCAATTCATCCTGGTGTTGTAGTATCAAATATTCTACATAAATATCCACTTTTCATTCAATGGGGATATAAAATTCTTGGGTTTTTTATTTTTAAAAGTGTTGAAGATGGAATTCAAACGGCATTACATTGTATATTTTCAGACTCTATTGTTAATGGTGGTTATTATAAAGACTGTGAATGTAGTATGTTATATAAAAGAGCAGAAAATACTACAGAACGTCAAGAAGTATGGAATAAAACTTATGAAATTATTAAACCTTTCTTATAACTTATTATTTTTTTTCTAATTACAACAAATTTTCATTTAAATAATATTTAATGAATATTTTTTTAACTTAAACATTGTTATATTATAAATAACATATAACTTTCTTCTTTTTATATGTTATTATTGACAATTTAAAATTAATGAGGGAGTTATTTAAAGTAAATTGTAAATTTACCTATTTATTCTTTTTTTTTAATGAAATAAAAAGGATATTAGTATTAAATATTCACACAATCTAATTGTTTCATAACAATAAATGATTAATTCAATTAATTTAATAAACTCTTCTTTTAGTGAAGGTATTTTTTTATTTTTAAAGATATTAAAAAAGCTGTCAACAGTAAATTAAATGTCAAAAATTCTTCTAAAAAAAAATGGGTACAAAAAAAAGAAATAAAAAGATTTTTAATATTTCAATTTCAATTAATTTTTATCTCAAAACAATTTAAAAGAACAATAACAAAAACAATTAAATAAAAGTTAATAGTGTTTAATATAAACTATCCCATTAATTATTTTAACAACAACTAGTTGACTCTTCATCTTTTTCTTGAATTTGGTGATGTTCAATACAAGTAACTTCACTTCGTTCTTTTGGTTTCATAAATTTAAGTAAATCCAGAAATACTTTTTTAACATCTAAATTGTTAATAGTTATATTCATTTTTTTATTCTTTTAATACAAACTTTCACCTGTTTTAGCAGATACCTCAGCATATACTTCAATTTTTAATTCTTCATTTAATCTTTTTATTTCATCTTCATTAATAACTCTTTGATCATTAATATCACTCTTATTCCCTACAACAGCAACAGCTACATCAGGAACAGCATCTTTTAAATCTTTATACCAACCACGTATATGTTCAAATGATGTTTTTGAAGTAATGTCATATACAATAACTGCTCCACTACTTCCTCGATAATACATTGATACCATTGATCTATATTTCTCTTGTCCTGCCTAAATGTCTTGTTAAGTCCTGTCATCCTTTTTTCTAAAAATAATATCAACAAACAGTATCCCAAATAGATACATCCACTTCTTTTCCTTCTGACTCTAATTTTGTTGTTACAAATGATGCCGCAATAGTTGCTTTTTCTTCATCAATAAATTGGTCTTTAATTAATCTATTAGAAATACATGTTTTACCAACACCTATCAATTAAATATTTTTCTTTCTTTTTCGTATTAAAACAAACTCATATCTCCAATAACACATATTTTCATTGATCCATTTAACATAATTCTTTTGTGTAATTCTGTTTTATCAGTTCATTCTCAAAACAAAGACATAAATTCTTTAAAAACTACCTATCTTATTATAGTTTATTTAATAATTATTTTACTATAATTTATAATTTTTTACTCTAGTCATTTTTCAAAAAAAAAGAAAAGTATTATTTATAATAAAAATATATTTTAATTATAATAAATCAATCTGTTAGAAAAGATATAATGAAAAGATACTAATAAATATAATGTTTTGTAATCTTATTAAATTCCCTCTCTTTGTTAGCGAGCAAGGATTAGATAACTTACAATATTATAAGTATAGTGGTGTTGATTTAAGTTTAATGGTAAATTATTTTTTAGGACCGTATTTCTGGAATTTATTGATAGAAAAATTTCCTATGTGGTTAGCACCAAATATGATAACACTTGCTGGAGGATTATTTATGGGAATGGCAATGATTGTAATGAATATTTTTCTTGATCCTAATAGTGAGCCAAATATTTTAGTTAATACTTTTGTATGTATTATGATATTTTTATATCAAACAGCAGATAATTTAGATGGAAAACAAGCAAGAAGGACAAAATCTTCAAGTCCATTAGGAGAATTATTTGATCATGGAGTTGATTCAATAATGATTGGTATATTTAGTGTAGCTGTTGTATTAAATCTTCATCTAACAACAACAAAATGTTATTTATTAATGATGGTATTAAATACTGTGTTTTATATGTCTCATTGGGAAGAATATCATGTAGGAACATTAGTATTAGGATATATTATGAATCCAACTGAATTACAATATTTAACAATAGGATTTTTATTATTTCAAGGCTTTTTTCCAAAAGTTGGAGAAACAGTTATTTTAATGGTATCTATTAATGACATGATCTATTATTTTATTTTAATTTGTTGTATTTTAGGATGTTTTAAATATTATTTAAATGTTTCTCATTGGTCACAAAAGAATAATACAAACCTTTCATCTGCAATACTTTGTATGACACAATATTTTATATTTTTAATTTTGACATTATTACTTGTTCTTTTACTTCAAATAAACCTTAACCAATCTTATAAAGTCTTCTGGATTAATTGTTATATAATTATTTTAATTAACGCATATTTAACTCAACGACTAGTTGTAAAAAGAATATGTAAAGAACCTATTTCAATGATGGATAATATTTTCTATGGATATGGATTATATATTATTATCCTTTTCATTGTTCTTATACTTCACAATGAATCTTTGGCTTTTCTAACAACTATTGGGGGACTAATTTTTGCGTTCTTTATGGAGTCACTTTTAATTGGTGATATTTGTTATGCATTTTCTCGTCATTTAGGAATTCATGTCTTAACTATTTCACCAATAGAGGAAAATGATGTTTAATTAATTCTTAAATTAATTTGACTTTCAACTTAACGATAAATAGAATTAAAAAAGGATATTAAATTTCTATTTCTTTAAAAAACTTAAAAATAATTTAATTTTATTCTTCATGAACCAACCATTGGACACTCAATCAGATACTCCTTTATTCAATACACCTCCTACTGAACCAAAAGAAATTCAACCCGATAAGTTCCACATTATAAAAGATCTTAATAATCAAAAAAGAAAACTTATTTACCGTAAATTACTTCATTATGATAATGCACAACTTTCTTTAGAAGAAATGAAAATGAATACACAAATTAATAAATATGAGTATTATTCTTTAGTACATAAATATTATACACTTTCTTGTAAAAAAGTTAAGGAATTTTCAAATACAACTTCTGAAGGATATTCTTTATATCTTCTTAAAGCATTAAATAATAATAAAATTTTTGATAGTATAAAAGGGTATGATAAACAAGATATTAAACTTCTAGAAAAGATTGATATGGATCTTGCTCGTGTAACAAATACATTTTGTTCTAAAGTTTGTTATTTTTCTTCTTATTATATTTGTTTTTTTTTTTGTTATTAAAGCTTTAATAACAAATAATTATTTATTAGAATTTACCTATTTTGGCTGGTATTAGAAGAATAGCATTTATTATTGCTAAAACTGAGTATAACTGTCCATATACACAAGGATTAATTGATATAATAATACCTCTTTATCAAATATTTAATGAAGAATTTATTGGAGAGGTTAAATCAAATGAAATATCAGATGTTGAATGTAATGTTTATAGAGTAGTTTGCTATATTTATAAAAAATTAAATTTATGGTATTATCCAAAATTAAAAGATGGTACTATAATGGTAACAACATTATATGGGAGATTATTAGAATTAATTGATACAGATCTATATAATTATCTTAGTCAAATAAATGCTCATCCTATGTTTTATGCTTTTGAACCAATTATTACTCTATTTTCACGTATTTTACCAATAGATGATTTAACTATATTACTTGACCACGTCTTTGTATCAAAAAAGTTCTCTTTTTTATTATGTTTTATGGCTGAAATTATTTTGTTTGTTTTTTTTTAATTATACCAATTGAATTAAAATGTACATTATTTATGAATAGAGAAAATAAGGACAAGTTGTTGTTAATTCAAAGCGAAGATGAAGCTATGCTCTTTTTAATGGTTTGTTATTTTACAATTCTTTTTATATATGATAAATTATTTATTATGTTTAGAAAGTTTTCCCACTCAGTTGCTTTAATGAAGTATTAGCTAATGCCAGAATTTTATATCTCAAATATGAAAATGACATCAACGGAATTTTTAAAACAACAAAACAAAGTTCATTGGAATGTATTTGTATTAACCAAAAAAATATAATAAGAAAAGTCTGAAAAGAAATACTTATGGATAGCTACAATCACTTTTTTGTAACAATTTAGTATCAAAAATATTATACACGACTTAAATTTCATTTTTTATTACAATATTTGTTAAAATTATTATTCATTAAATGTTTTTTTGAATAAAAACTTTCTCTTCTTCTATTCAATCAATGGGAATAATCTAAAAAACTTTGATTTGGAACTTAAATACTTTTTGTTAATCCCTAAAATAATTAATTATTTTTATTATTTTCTTTTTTGTTGTAGTTTTTATTTTCTAATTCAAATAAATACTAACCAAATTGTTGAAGTAATAAGGGACTGACAGCACAGTAGATAATCGAGTGGAGACTGGAAATAGTTGCGTTATAAATAAATTATAATTATTGATTTTTATTATAGTTTAAGTGTTTTTTATGTTCAATAATTAATTATTTTTAAATTTAATTTTATTATTATGGTGTTTAATTTGTTTAGACTGTTGTTTTTTTTAATTTGTTATTGGAAAGAAGTATTTTACATAAGTTAAAATATTTATTGATAATTATCATAAGAATATATCAATTAATAAAGTTAATGATTAAGAACACGTCTTTTTAATGAATCAATGGATAAAGAAAATAGATTTATTAATCAATTCTATAATAAATAATCTATGAAGTATTATAAGAATATAATAATACAAAACAGTGAATAGTCTAGAGAATAATCATATATTAACGATAAATGAAAAAAGAGATGAAAAACAGCTTATGAAAAACAGAATATGACATAATAAATGTACTAAGAAGGGTAATAATAATCAAATCTATTTATAAAGGGAATGAATTAAGAAGTAATAAAACTGATTTCTATTGTTCTTTGATAATTGGAGACAAGTCCTGTATCTGAACATTTTTCTACTAATTCTACAAAGTATGTTTGGTTATGGTAAAAGCAATTTTTCATAATATCCAATGTGTTTATAATAACAATGCTTTTACCTTCTTTTATAATGCTATTTTCATTTTTAATTCTTTATTTAATTTAATATTCGCTATATTTAATATACATTTGCTTCAATTTATTATTAAAGTTATTTTGACTTCAATAATTTCTCTATTTTCTTTATAATTATTCTTTTTCTTCATTTATTTTCATTCTTATTGTGATATGAAACAATAATCATATCATTTATTAGATTTTTATTTTTTATTTATACTTATATTTTATCTCTGTATTTTCTTTTATTACTTTTGTAGTGTG